CTCATCGTTTTATGAAGATTACAGCTACAGCACAGCAATTCTTACAAACCCTGAAGTCATCACAGAGGCAGCAGGAAAATTAACAGGTATTAAACTCTAAAACATCCTCTTTCTGTCACTTTAGAAGTGCTTTCACTGTATAGACCCCAGGGATGCAGATCTAAACAGTGCTGCATTTAAGGGCAGCAGAACTGTCAGTGAACAACAGTAAAAACTGGTGTGTTTTAAAAATGCTCCTGTTGTGAGTGTACGGGCTCATAATTGGTTTGATTAGTTTTACTGGCTGCAGATACATTACTCATTCACAATCATTCACAAGCTGACGTTACAACTGACTAACAGACTGTGTACTAATATCTTTTAGACGTCTTTGAATACTTACCTTAGTTCTATAGTATTATATTATCATTTCATATTTTTTATCCATACTTATTTTACTTCATTTGCTTTTAGATTGTTTTTTAACACTTGTTTTTAATCCTAATGTGATCATACTGTATTCTATGTTATTGAGCTCTATTTATTTAAGCTAATTAATCATGTCTGCAGTGTTTAACTTGATTTTGAATGAGAAACTGTTTAAAATACTTGCAGCAGAGTATGAATTTGAGCTCCAAATTGAAGCAATTAACTATTCGAATATATAATTTTTCTAATGTGTGGACCGACTTCTCTTTCTTACTGAAGAATCACCAACAGATCGTCCAGCTGCAAACACCAGAGGAGGTATGAACATTTGTAACCCTTCTGACACAAAAATCCAACACAACAAATTCACCAGGACTGATTAATGACAACATTTTAATTCCTCTAGACACAAAACCATTTATGCACAACTTTAATGATACCAACACTGAAAATGTTACAAATGGACCAGTACAATTATTACCAGGTAATAAATCTTGTGCTTTGAATTATTAACTGCATGTCCTCCTCTTGTTGTGCTTGGTATGCAAAGAAGACGTGTTGAACTTTGTTGTCTTCTTTTCACTGCTCCACCTGATGCAGATATAAACAGTGACTCCTCTAATGGCAGCGAAACCTTCATTAAAGCAACTCTGAAAACTGGTAAATTCAAGCTGTTTAAAGTTCAGCGATGTTTTATGTTTCTGTAGTAAATGTTTTGGGGTGGTAAGAGCTTTATCTCTTAAACATCATTAATTATGAAAATATATAGTTTAGGCTTTTTATTTTTTTTATCTCATGAACAGTGAGATTTAACCAGGAGTGAGAAACCAATTTTTATATATTACTTGTATACAAATCTAATGTGTGCAGCAGAAATTGTAGTTACATCTTGTGTTTCTTCCTGAAGAATCACCAACAGCGTATCCTCTTCAGAAACCCACCACAGATGCTTTGAATGTCTCTGAATCTGAGAAACATCTGAGCATGAAAGTGAAAACTGGTAAATCAACCAAGACTGCAAAGGCAAACATAAGTTTGAATATATTAAAAAACAAAATTCAACCTAAATCTTATTTTTTAAAAATCATAGAACAAGTAACATTTGATGACGATGAAAGCCAGGGGACCTTGAATGACACAGAAACTAAAGGACCAGTAATGCTGTTAACAGGTATGAAATCATTGCTTTGGATTATGAAATATCCTATTTTACTTTGGTTATTATTCATAAAACATTCTTGAACTTTATCATTTCACTCTAATCTTGAATAAATATCCAAAATGATACCCGAGCTGCTGACAAAATCAGGAGCTATGCTGACTCAAGGTTCAATATTTAGTTAAACCTTAAATAGCTTAACTTTTTACATTTAGTGACAGGAAGCTCAAGCTTATAAGGACTGGTTGATTCGAGTTGGTGTGCCAGCTCTTCTAGTAAAAGTTTTCTTTCTTTTTGTAGAATCACCAACAGAACATTCACCAGAAAAATCCAGAGGTGCTTTGAATGTTTCTGACTCGGAGAAACTTTCAGAGGCAACAACAGAACTTGGTAAACCTCAGATGAGACAAACCTTAGTTTGACTACATGAAGAGAATATGCTAAAGCCATTTTTTTCTTTAAATTTTCCAGAGTCCTTAAATTTTGATCAAAATGACAGCCAGGGCTCCTGGAATGATACAGACACTGCAAATGTCACAGAGGGGCCAGTAAGAGTATTAATAGGTAGGAAATCATCTGCTTTGAATGGTTAAGTTACTTCTTTCATAATAAAAGTTCTGAATGTGGTTCCAATTTCACTCTGCAGCCCCACATGATGCCAACATAAAGAGTGATACATTTAATGGCAGGAGAACCATAATTAAAACAAGCACAATAACAGGTAAAAAACTGCCATACTGTATCTGATTCTGGTTATACTGTTTATATGTGTACTAACTCACTTGTATCTTTGTATCTGCAGTAACACCAACACCACATCCAGCTGAAAACACCAGAGATGCTTTTACTGTTCCTGGTTCTAAAAAGGATGCAGATAAAACAATAGAACCTGGTAAAACACTAGAGATAAACTGAAGTCTAATTATATGAAAAAAGAGAAAAAAACAAGAGAGTAAGCACTACTTTGTTTTCTAGAGCTAAAAGCAGCTGATAAAGATGTTGCCTTCAATGTTGCTAAACAAAATGCTACAGAGGCATCAGTGACACGATTTATAGGTAAGACTAACACTCTCGTTATGAACGTTACTCTCATAGCGTTATTTATTTATATGGAATATTTCATCCTATTTTTATTGGAGTCTTGATTTTTGCTGGAACATTTGGATGGTATGGTTAAAATTTTACGTAAACACCATGTGACAGCATGGATCTTTTGGCCACTAAGTACAAGTTAAACATCATTAAAGACCATGGCCTACCCGCGTATTGATCCTGATCATGTCCATGTGCTTATGACCACAGTGAATGGCTGCTTCTAGCAAACTGGTTAATTGACATGACTCAAATGGGCTCCACATTCACCAGAACTCAATCCAATGGAGCACCTCTGGGATATGTTGGGTGGGAGGTTCACATTATGGATATGCAGCTGACAAATTTGCAGCAACTGTGTGTTGCTATCATATCAATATGGACCAAAATCTCTGAGTGTTGTTTACAACACCTTGTTGAATCTATACCAAAAAAATCAAAGGTGTGAAGGAAAAAGAGGCCCAACCTGGTGCCAGTAGGCTGTGCCTAATATGGTGTTTTTTAAACTATAACATCTTTGGAATCTCTATACACGCTTTCATTTTTTTTTTCAATTTAAAGGTTCACTTTCAGAAGAACTGGATAAAAACAGAGACACTTTCAATAACAGTGGAAACGTCAACGATAAACCCATGACAACTGGTGAGGAATGGCCACGTGTCCCATATTTGACCTCAATACTGACACTTCACTTTGTTGCAAGGCTCAATAAAAAATAGTATTGATAATTTATAGTCACCTCACACAAAAATACAAAGTAATGATCACTTGCTATGACTCAAACATCATTAATATTTACATTAAAAATGATCTTTCATTTTTTTTCAGATTCTTCAAATAAGCTCTGGTCTGATAATAAGATCAGTGTGACCACCGGTGACAAATCAACAGAAAGTGGTTAGAGACTTGCTAAATTAAGCTTCAAATCATGCCATTATCTAATTATCTTCTACTGTATAGTTTACTGAAATACAAAAGTGTGTGTGTGTGTCTTTTTTTTGTTTAGAGTGTATTATTAAAAACATAAAATGCTCAGAGAAGCCCACTGAAATGGAAAGCACCTATGGAGCCTGGATGTCAGACGCGTCACAGCTGGATGAAGATCAGTACTGGCTGGCCGATCATTTTTCAGGTGACTTACACAACATCCATGAATTCTCACTTCATAACAGACTTTTGAGAGTTATTTGATTGGATTTAACGCGAGAACTTTTTGTCACCAGGTCGACATTTGTGGGAATATCAGGACCTTTCAACATTGCAAAACACTAAAAACACTATAGACACCAAGAGGTTCTACCAGGGGTGTGGCCATGTTGTTTATAAAGGATCATTTTACTACCACAACGGCGGAAAAAACAGACTTATAAAGTAAGTGCTGCACCATCTCCGCCTGTCTTGAGGTGTTTGATGCCTGCAACTTTTATTTAATGGTCAATATTTTAAATTTTTACAGATTTGGTCTGAAAACGAAGAGAACGCAGATTCTGACCATGCCAGACACCAGATATCACAACCTGACTTATCTTTTTCGAAACTCAAAGACATACTTCAAGTTTGCTGTGGATGAAAGTGGACTGTGGGTCATCTTTGCCTCAAACGCAGATGACAGCACACTGGTCGCAAAGCTCGACGATGACACATTCTCTATAGAGTCTGTCATAAACACCACCTACCCGACAGCTAAAGCAGGAAATGCTTTCATTGTGTGTGGGGTGCTGTATTTTACAGATGACAAAGACAGAAGGGTGACATATGCCTATGATTTAAAGAAAGAGAGTCCTGTGGATGCAGGTTTTGACATAAGATCAGGTAATGGAATCTTGGCTATGCTGTCGTACTATCCCAACAAAAAGCTTTTGTACGTGTGGGACAACAAAAGTGTGAATACCTGCAGAGTTAAATTCAAAAAGACCTAAAAATAAATAATCAAACTCTATGACATCATGCAGTTGGATTAACAAAGCATTGTATGATTTAGTTTTGTCACAATATACAGGTAAATAATTGCGCAATTTTTCTTGTTGTGTGCTTTTCAGTTTAATTTGTTTGTAAAAAAACAACCAAACACCAAAGACGAATAGTATTCATAGCAACGTATATTTTTGTATTTTTCTGTAGACAGACTTCTGTACTGAAAGTCTTATAATCTGGTCAAATAAAAGGTGTGTGAGACCTCTTTAATAATAATCAGGTTCTGCTGTGTCAACATGATATTTAGCATTTTTCACTTCTCTCGAGAGCCTGCCTTAATGAGTATGTGGATGTGATAAAGCTATCTGAATACATGATGGTGGTGTACAGGTGGTGGTGGACGGCAGAAGCTCACAAGCCAAGTTTTGTCCAGGAGCCTTAAGAGATGACACACTGGAACAGCTTTTACAGCTAACTGTGCAGCTGGGTTGAGACATTTGAAATCAGACTTTAAATGTACATTCATATGAGTAGTTTTTGTTTGCATGTCTTACTTTGTACAACTGACTGGGAGAAAAGTTGTAACCTTACGCACTCATTGGCTACTTTTATAGGTACACTTTACTAGTACCGGGCTGGACCTCCTTTTGCTTTTAGAACTGCCTTAATTACATGATTGCAACATGATTAAATGTTGCAGTATAAACTGAGAACCATTCAATCAGGTAATGTTTTTTCAGATCTTCTGTTGTCCAATTTTGGTGAGCATTTATGAATTCAATGTAGCTTTGGTTTCCTGTTCTTAGCTGACAGGAGATGCAGTCTGGAGTGTTATGTTTTGCTGCTGAAGCTTCAAGGTATGCTCTTCTGCATACACTTGGATGTATCGAGTGGTGATTTGAGTTACTGTTACCTTCCAATCAGCTCAGAGAAGTCTGGCCATTCTCCTCTGACCTCACATTCATTCACTTATATTTAACAAGACATCTTGTGACAGCCGTCTGTTTGAATGATAGTAGCATACAGTATATTCCTGATGAAACATGTCCCTAAAATTAGTAGTTTTTCCGTTATCCATATAACATCCATGACAAAGTGTCATGGCCCCTTCTTAAAACAAAAAAACAGCTTCTTGTTTGTAGCATACAGTATATTTCTGATGAAACATATCCCTAAAATTAGTAGTTTTTCTGTTATCCATAGATAACGGACAGAACTTCTGATTTAAAGTTCTGTCTGTCTTTTATCAAGCTGCTTTGACATGGTGAACTGTTAGCTGTGCAGAAACAGCATGACATATGAAACGGTCAAGATAATTATACACCTTTTTTTTTCACTTCACAGACTCGATCTCATCAAGTGTCCCAAAAAACCTTGTCAGCAAAACAGTGACACAAAGACAACTTTATATGGGTATTTTTTAACCCTCGGGCCCTTCCACCACATATAGATAGACAAATGGCCCTTACTTTGAGTGGCTCTGGGTTACAGAGGCGGACACATATCACAAGAATCCATAAGTGATGTACTGAACTATAAAATCGCAAACACTCTATTGGATAGAGCAACAAGAAATACACAAATTAACAAGAACACTGCACAATATCAAGAACAAAGACAAAATAGTGCATATTTGCCATTAACACGGATGATGTCAAACCTATAGCTCATATTTTTGAGAGTATTTCTTCATTTCTTTCTTTGTTTAAAGTTGCATGCATTAAAATGTCAAACTACCTCTCATGAGTACCAAGGCTGTGTTAAACTTCTACTAATAATGCATACTGAATCTGAACTGAGCCTATCAAATAACAAAGTGTGACTGAAACGACTGTTAACAGGTTACAATGCTAGATGTGATATGTCCCTTAACTACCAAACGCAATTTCACAATATCTTTGTTAACGTTGCATATTACGATGTTGTCATGAACGCACCACGAATCGCGCTATGTTTGAGCAGATCTCAAAATATCTGGATGGGTATTGAATGCGCTGGCACGAATGAATCCACCATGCTGCTTACACCCTGCACACTGTTTCTATCGCTTCCTTTGGGGAAGGCTAGTTCGCTAGCCGGGTAACCAACCTAATAACCTAGTTCATAACAGCAGGCGTTACATCACTTTAGTTCGTGTCACACCTGTGAAATAACGGTCTAAAGAAGTTGACTTTTCAGTCCATGTAACAGGCACTGTGGCATTAGCATGACACACTGACCTTTCTAGCTGTAACAAACGTGCAGAAGCTTTAGTGATTTAGCAAATTTGTGTTTCAGAGAGGGGCTGTCAAGACGCGACTGCTTTCAACGCGCACTGTGAGTAAAACTGGAAAGCTAGTTAAATGTTGATTTGTGTTTCGTAGTTAGTAGTTTTAAATAAGCTGGAAACGATACCTGCAAATTTGTTTTTCTTAGGAGTCACTCTGTCTATTAGCTCTGCAGCGTCGGCTGCTTGTCATTTCCTCTAGAAGAAAACGCTTAGTGAATTTGGTTAAGGCCTAGCATGCGAAGCTAACAGTTACCTATTTACGTAGGCTAACTAGATACAGTGTTCATACAGGGTACCTTTATAGTATTAGCATCGCGTGATAGCTTAAAATACCAACACCTTTTCGTGTGGTGTACAGTGTAAATATTTAGACTGTAGTGGCGACTATCTAGTCTCGTCAACGAGCTGCTGTGCTAATGCTAATTGTGACGTTGGAGTATTGAGGCGTTAAACCGGCCTGTCTTATTCAGCGCAGTCTGTTAGCTGTACGATGCTAACTTGACACTTTTTTGTTTGTTTAAGGAGTTTGAGACAGAAGAAAAGATGTCCTGTCCATGTGCTTCGGCTGCCAGGTTGTTCCTAAACACTGCTAACAGAGGTACGAAAGGGAAGACGCACACACTCCCTGCCCTACAGCTGCGTTAAGCTGCATGACATTGAGCTATTTGGTTCAACTTATGGAATCAGGGCCCCAGCTGACCTAGATTACTGTTTGTTATGACAGTTCTGTAGCTAACGTCAACAGGAGGTAAAAAGGCAATTCATGACAGTTTAAATGGTAAATGGTAAATGGCCTGCATTTGTATAGCGCTTTTCTAGTCCCCAAGGACCCCAAAGCGCTACATTCACCCATTCACACACACATTCACACACTGGCGATGGCAAGCTACATTGTAGCCACAGCTGCCATCGGGCGCACTGACAGAGGCGAGGCTGCCGGACACTGGCGCCACCGGGCCCTCTGACCACCACCAGTAGGCAAACATGGGGTTAGTATCTTGCCCAAGGATATTTGGGCAGCCTGGGATCGAACCACCAACCTTCTGATTAGTGGCTGACCTGCTCTGCCACCTGACCAACAATACATATGATTTCACGACAAACAACAAAAACATAAGGAGCGATTTTACCCCATGTAAATACAATTCTTGCATCAGACCGTGAAGTGCTGCTCTTAATAATATACATGAAATAGAAATATGGTCTTTGGTATTATGGTATTTATGCATTATGTAGCCTTATAACATGTAGTTTTAGACATGTTAGGGGCCTTTTTTTAAATCTTTAAACGTTTCTAAAAAACATTTTTGTTTTACTTTTAACCTTTATTTTCCCATTTCCCAGACACAGGTGAAGCCTAATTGAAAACTAAAAGAAAATTTAAGTGAAAATATTATGGCTCCCTCCCTCTTCCCCCAAAATTAATGCTAAGGACACTATGCATTGTATAGGAAAACACAATTAAAATCATATGTCAATGTCATTAGTTTTCAGACTTATGGCTGATAGAAATCTAAAGGGATGTTGCTTTTTTTTCTTTTTTTTTTTAACAGGACTGTCATGCTCTCGGATTCAGTTGTTTTTTCTGAGTCGTCACGGGTTTCGAGAAACTCATTTGCCTCCTCGAGTACGTGTGAGATCGTTTTCAGAGACCTCTGTCTGTTATGGCTCTAAAGACGGGACAACCAAGGATGGTGGAAGTGATGGTGGAAAGGTAATCTTTATTTGCAACATTTTGTAAATGTGGACGTACACAACCTAGTTAAAGCAGTGGATGATAATACTTTAATTTAACACGTGTTAACACAGTTGTTTTTACACAGAAGAGCCTCAGTGAGGGGAAGAGAATGTCTGGCTCCGGAGGATCGGGTAAGGGTGGAAGCCAGCTACGCTGCCCTAAGTGTGGGGACCCCTGCACACATGTAGAGACCTTCGTATGTGAGTACACATATTACTCTTCAACAATTATTTACAAATGGTCTAACTGTTGAATGATGTCATGTGATGTTGTGTCAGTTGTGGAAATGTTTGTGTCCCAGATGGTTCTTACGATATAAGGTTGTTGTTTACCAGTTGTTAAAAAAAACAAACCTAAGTAAATAAACTGATCATAAATAAATACATGGTATTATCACTGCTAGAAAACTAAAGGTTGCTGAATAAATGGTTGCTGTTACTGGATTCCTCTCAACATGGATGATGAGCAGGGAGAAAAAAAGATGCATTAGACGTCACTTAAATTCATGATTTAGTGTTAAAACATGTTAACATCAACTTTCATATTTCTCTGTGACACAGACCTTTGTGCATGGAAATAACTATAAACACTAGTGTAAACACAGGAGATGAATAGTGCACCACAAACCACCACTTCAAGTATTTCCTGGCACAACTTGTCAAAATAAAGATGTGGATATAAACTGTGTAATGTCGTTTTTATTGCTGTCTCTGGAATGTTTTAGATTTTGCGGTGCCACATAAACATTTTGACTCATTGCTTTAAACCAAGAGGGGCTGTTAGGATTGTTGGACGTGTGAGAAACATCTTGGACACGGGTATAATTGTTTATACCAGCGGTCCCCAACCTTTTTTGCGCCACGGACCGGTTTATGCCCGACAATATTTTCAAGGACCGGCCTTTAAGGTGTCGCGGATAAATACAACAAAATAAAACTAGTACCGGTACCGAAAAAAAGAAGATTTATTCATAACACACGTGAAAAGACCCAGGAAAACAAAGTTAACGATAAAACGATAACAAAATAATGCTGAAAACCGATAAAAACCCTGAAAACTACATTTCACACCTGAGCCTCAACTCTCGCGGCCCGGTACCGGTCCGAGGCCCGGGGGTTGGGGACCGCTGGTTTATACGACTTTCTGACTTTAAATCGGCCAATCATAGTGAGTACTATCAATTAAAAATCACATTTACATCAGCTGCACCTGCTTTATTAATTTTTGCCAATCTAAATCTACAATACACTTTCCAGACA